ACTCTTGTTTCATTTCATGTTTTCTTGGCTTTTGTGTTTTATTCGTTCAGTTCGCTGGTGCAACGTCCTCTGACGTGGACATGCAGCCTTTCGCCACTTTTTCGCCTTAGTTGTTGCGCTGGTGGTTCGCCACTGCACGCCTTTCACACTCTCCTCTCCTCTCCCACGCGTCCCCACCACCAACCATCAACTCCTCACCCAAACCAACACGGCACTTGCAGCATCAGCACCGGCGCGCCCATCTCCCTCCCGATCCAACGCGTCGCGACCACCAGCCATAAACCATGAAGCCAGCTGCGCCCGCACCGACGACCACCAAGCCAGCGCCCGCAGCGGCACCAGTCGCGTCAAGCCCCGCGCCGCGTGTACCGCAGCCCGCGCAGAAGAACCATGACGACGAAGAGGACGACATGGATCTCGACAAGGCTGCGGCTGCCGTATTTTTGCGCCGGCATATCGTGCACACGCCGTCGGCGTACACGTCGATGCACGGCCAGCGACTCACGCTCGTGCAGTTTATTCTCGCGACGCTGGATGTCATGGGGCATCTTGATAAAGAGGTGGATACGGAGACGAAAGTCGCGTTGGTCAAGTGGGTGTATTCGCTGCAGCATCCGCACGGTGCGTGCATTTCGGTTTGGGTTAGAATGGATTGGAAGCGGCGTGTGCTCATTCTGTTGTAACTGGACGTCTTGTAGGAGGATTTGTGGGCTCGGATCATGTTCGTTTTCAGTTTTCGGCGACGCGAATTTGCCAACGAAAATTTTACACCTGCTCCCGGCGCTCCACCAGATCCCGGAAGCCGATCTCGCGTCAACATACAGCGCGCTCGTCTGTCTCGTGATTCTCGGCGACACGCTGGCCGCTGTGAACAGGAAGACGATGGCCAAGTGGCTGCACCGGCTGCAGTCGCCGACCACGGGCGGGTTCGTTTTGGTCATTCCGTTCAGTTCGATCTCGGTGCAAAACTGATGTTGCTGAGCTTTTAGGTACCGCCAGTACGAGTCGCAGCCCGAGGACTTGACCGACTTGCGGTTCGGGTACTGCGCCATGGTCACGCGCAAGCTGCTCGGAATCCCACTGGCATCGACGGCACGCGACGCGGCGATCGAGTACATTGCGGCCAAGCAGGTTCGCTACTGCCTTGTTTAGTCCCCGTCGCGAACGTGATTTTGCTGACCTGGTTTATTCGCAACCAGACGTACGAGGGCGGGTTCGGACTCAAGCCGCCGAGCGAGGCGCACGGTGCGCATCACCCTTCTCTACCTTCTCAACCATTATTTTCCACCCTCCTCACCACTCCGGATAGGCGGATACACGTACTGCGCCGTTGCGGCGCTCGCGCTACTCGATGCGCTCGACCGCATCCGCGACCGGTCAGCGCTCATCCACTGGGCCGTGGCGCGGCAGGAACTCGGGTACTCTGGGCGGATCGGCAAGCCCAACGACACGTGCTACTCGTTCTGGATTGGCGCGTCGCTGGCAATGCTCGATGCGCTCGATTTGATTGATCCGGACAAGAACGCGCTGTACTTGTGCTCGCAGCGCACTTTGTTTGGCGGGTTGAGCAAGGACGCGACGAGTCCGCCGGGTACGTGGGTGGAGAAGTGCGTAAGTGTGCCTATTGAGCGATACTGACGGCGCGATTTGATGATAGATTTGCTGCATACCTACATGGGGATCGCGGGCATGGCGCTGCAGCAGCACTTGCTACCGGCCATGGCGGCCAAGGTGCAGCTCGCGGACTTGGACGTGGTCACCAACATTTCGGTGCGCGCGCTGCGGCACTTGCACGCGGCGGGCGGGCCCGACGTGTTGAAGGACGAGCAGCATGCCGCGGCGGCGATCGAGGTCGCCGAGTAGCGGAACAGTCGACGGGAAGGATCGCACTGGGCCCACCAGGGAGAGGGTTAACACGATACGTAGTTCGTTTGAGTCTGCTAGCGTGGCCCAGCGACAGTCCTTTTCAAATGGGAACAGTCGCGATCTGGCTGCATCCAACAGCGCGCCGCGCCGCGTGGGGAAGTCGTTGCGGCGTCGCGTGCGAGACGCGTCATCGTCGACTGCGGGACAGCGACCAGAGAGCCACGTGCGTGGCAAGACTCGGAGAAGCACAGCGCAGACCAGCGGCAACCTGCTCGAAACTCGACACGCCTACCGCGCGCAACTTCACGCAAAGCTGAGCGAACGGCCTTGCGGAAACCATGCTGCGAGCCCCGTGAGAATCGTGTGCGGAATCGGGGCCGAAAGCAGCCGCGACCTCGCCAGTGCGCTTTTCGGAGGCGATTTCGAGCGCTGTTGGGCCACCATCGTCGTGACCCGTGACCGCGGAGCCAGCGCCGAGCAAGAGCAAGCTCCGAGCAAGGGCAAGCAACTCACGCAACTACCCTTCATCTCGCCTCGCCGCCGTGCTCCACCAACGATTCCGTCCACGCTGCTATACCCATCCACATCCATCGACACCGGCCATCAACCGTCGCGCGTCTGTGCGTGCCGCGGCCCACCGACGCTCTGCCAATCCGCACCCCCGCCCGTCAATCGTGCTCGCCATTCGCGAGCCCGAAAATCGCGCGGCGACCGCTGCACGCTTCTCCCCATCGTTCCGCGTCGCCGACCAAGCATCCACCGACGCTTCCTGTCCAACAACCCCGCACCGGTTCTCGCACCCCGTGCCGATTGCTCGCGCGCCACGGCACGGTCGAGTTTCCCCTCATCTTTTTCCATCCATTCCGGTGCGTTTCCGGCCGTTTCGGCAATAGGGTCCGATTACATCCCTTCGCGGCGCTAATCTCCCTTCACGGCGCTAATCTCCGCCGTTGCATCCACGCTAGATCCGCGCGTGCGACCTCATTGCCCTGCTCGTTTTCCGAGCACCTACACGTTCACCATGGGCCAGCTGCACAAGCACTACCTGCACGCGCCCGACACCAACAACCGCATCTACGTGTGCGCGACGTGCCAGACGCACCTGTCGACGCACTCGCTCATCATTTCCAAGCAGTTCCAGGGCCAGACGGGCCGCGCGTTCCTGTTTGACAAGGTCGTCAATGTCGCCGAAGGTACGCCGTATCCGATGGCCATGTATAGCGACCATGATTGACGCGAGCCGCAACTAGGCCCCGCCGAGGACCGCCAAATGACGACGGGTCTGCACACGGTGCGCGACATTCGGTGCATCCACTGTGGCGCCGTGGTCGGGTGGAAGTACGAGTACGCCTACGAAGAGTCGCAAAAGTACAAAGTCGGCAAGTACATTCTCGAAAAGAACTTGCTCACCGACATTTACGACCACTGAGCGCGCGCGTTCGCGTTCGCTGTCACCCTCGGGCGGAGACGCATCGGTACGTTGCGCGATTGGTCGCGGGCTCGCCGTGATGCGATGCATGCCATTCGCGGTCGACATCGCATGCGACGCGATTGGGCCCGTCGGTCTGGTCGGACGCGATGTTGAGCGCATCCTGGTCGATCCGGAACGAAGCTATCCGAGTCCATTTGCTCGACAGTGCTCTAACCACCACGGTTCTCATCCCGCTCTCGCTCCATGTTCTCCATGTAGACCGTCGAGTTCGTGAACTTTTTTCCAAATCATCGTTGCCGCGGCCGGTCCGCAGCATCCCCGGCACCGCGCCGTCGTTCCCCCCGCGCACGCTGTTCGCTGCGCCATGCCCTTCCCGCTCTCGTTCCGTCTTGTATTCCCGTTCGTTTTCGACCGGCCGCTTCCTCTCCACCACTGTACATTTTTACACGGATTGCCGACACATAATTGAGTCCGTCCGTTCCCGCTCGTCGTTCGCGTTGGCGTCGTGTCGGTGCGGGCGGGACAAAATCGTGCACGACACGACGAGTGCTCATGACGACGCGCGCGGGCCGTCATTGTTCATATCCCCTGTCATCGCTCTTTTTCCTTTTTGTTCTTGTTCATCGGCGCCGGCGTTTCGATCTTCCTGTGCATACATTTCTATATTACGTCCATTGGTTTTCCTTCGCCCGTCTCGACGCGAACAGCTGATGCATTTGAGGATTGACCAAACAGCGTGTGGACGATCAATGTGCAGACGCAGCAAGCAACACAACCCATCGTGGTAGCCATTGGCTCTTCGCTGTTGAACTTCCCAATCTAGCAGGGTAAGCGTGCGTCTGACAGCGGATCATAACGTGTGTGGTCTTTGCTCATTGTGTTGGCAGACAACTTGCGCAGGGTCCACATGTCGCGCAGACAGTTGTTTCTTACCCATAAGATCTGTTGGACCAGGATTGTTTTGTCATTTGCGAGACTGACGGACATGATGCAAAGCCGTCTACCAGCAGCTGTGTCTTGGTCACTCATATGAAGCCTGCGTTCAAATGCTGTATTGAGTACAATGGGCGGCATCCATGGATCAGTTTTGATCAGTATTAGGTTCACAAGCAGCATGGGCCGCTACAAGACGCGCAGCGTACTTTGGAGAATCATGTTCTGGTGTGGAAGCTTGTGATGGGATGCACCAGCAGGTGACATGAGTGGAGGAAGGCATGCCAGAACAACACAGTTTTGAAGCCCAAAAAAAATGTTACCGCTCAGGTTCCAGACTGCACTGAGATCTTGGGCGCGCGTATAACTTGGGGGCATGGGTGAGGAAGCTGGGCCTGTGGTAAAACCGTTGTTATGTGTAAGCTGTAAACAGTCGCAAAGCATTTGCCTGTGCCATCATCCTGCAGCTTGCAGATTAGTGCACGTTGGCAGCCCACCGATTTCATTGTTTCCACTGTGAAAAGCGCTGTGAATTGTATTGTAATCGTGCTCTTCCGGTTTGAAGAAAACGCTTTTGATTACATGCAGATGGTTCAGCTGCTTCCATTTTGGGGGACAATGCCACCAGTTCACCAGTTGGCAAGGTCGGTTGGCAATTCACTTCCACAACACTTCAGATTGTCAAAAGCAAGCGAGACTGCACTAACGTCGCGTTGTAGACATGACTTACCAACCCTTGCCAAAATGGCACACGCTTAGACGACAAGTCGGGGCCCACCGGGGTTCGAACCCGAGACCTCCTGCACCCAAAGCAGATATGATACCACTACACCATGAGCTCCTGCACTGGAACAAAACGTTTTCTAATTAAGCTTGTCTCTACACCAAGAGGATTGAACATTGAATGTTAATTGTGGTCTGCGAAGTTGCATGAAAACGTTCTGTCAAAGTTTTCGTCAGCACGTGGGTCGTTTGAAAACCTTCATTACGCCGGGGTCTCCTTGCCCATCAACATCGTCTCCAACGGCAGTGCCATCGTCGACAATCCTTGTTTTCCACGACCCGTGCCCGACACTCCTCGCAAACTCGCTCATCATGGCCGGCGGTGGTGCTTACATTGGTACGCCGTTGCGAATGCCGCCCCTTCGGCGCCGACAGCCTCGCCCCTACCTCGCGCTCCTGTCGATGTTGCACGGGAACGCATGCTCGACCGCCCATGCGGCGTGATTCCACCATCAGCAGCGCAGGAACGCAGGAATGGAGCAGGGGCAGGGGCAGTTCGCGGCATCGCGTGTTATCAGTTGTCGTGAACAATTGACTGACCGCCGTTTGTCACGATTCCACAGGTTGGTGGGGTCAGATGCGTACGTACTCCACTAAGCGCTCGCTCCCTCCGCGCGGCCGATTCACACGCGACGCCGTTCGTGAGGCCGCGCCTTTCTCTCATCGTCGACCCGCCCCGCCTGACCCCCGCCTTCCCTCCTCTCGCTCGCGTGTAGGCGGCCCGCACCAGGCGCAGACTGGCATTGTCACGTACCAGATCTCGCCGTTCCGCCAGCGCGCGTTTGCCGGCGCCTTCAAGAAGGGTGTCTTCAACGTGGTTCGCCGCACGACCGCGCAGGCGCCCTACATCATCCCGCCGTTCCTGATTGGCTACAGCATGTTCAAGTACTGCAAGGACAAGTACGCCTGGTACCACACCAAGGAGGGCGCCGCGCACGCCGGCCACTAAGCCGCCATCGTGCGCTCGTTTTCGAATTGGACCGGACCGGACCCGCCGCGGATTCCGCTCGCGCGAGATGGCGCTCGTCGGGGATCTCGGGGGGTTTGCTCGCGTAATTTGATGGATTGTGTTCGTAAATATAGCCGCAAAGTCGATGCGAATCGCGAATTGGTAATCGGGAACTGGTTTTTTTGCATCGAAGTGCGTGGTCACGACGACTCGGGATCTGCAAACACGGCCAACGGCCAACAGCAGTCAAACGTGAACAAAAACGGGTTTTCCATTTCAAAATGCATACGCGCGTCGGCAATGTCTACTTGTTCTTGTCCTTCTCGGCGCGCTCGCTCGCGACATGCGCCGCATAGACGACGCGCTCGAGGTACCGCAGCGCAATCATGCTCGACGTCATTGTCATCCACCCGGCCGGGAAAAACACCCACGTCTTGTAGAAGCGCACCGACATGGTCGCCGTCATGATGCCCGCACACGCTACACGTGCACGCGGTCATCATCGTAAGCAGGTCTGCACGGTTCTTAGAAGCAAATCGCGTGCTCGCAAACGTACCGAGCATCAACCAGGCGCGCAGCGGGTCCTTGGACACGACGTGCGCCGCGTAGAACAGGAGAAGGCCCATGGGCACGCCCATGGCGACCGACATGACGGATCCTGTGGCGCCGAACGGTCAGCGCTTCGTGTCATGATGGTTGCTGGCCCGCACGCAAAAATCGCGTACCGGCCATCAAGTAGCCCACGATCCCGCCCACCAAGACCATGGCCGCATACGAGTACGCAAACATGTCAAAGTGCGGCGTGAGCGTCGACGTGAACTGCAGCGGGTGGTTCTCGAGCGAGGTCGTGTCGGGGTTAGACGGCGTTGCTGCCGCGCCATCGGCGGGAGCTGGAGCATCGTTGGTCGCAGACTCGGCGCGCGTGCGCGACTGTTTTGCAGACTTCTTGGCCATCTTGTCGGTTGCTGGAGCTCGAGTTGATTGCTGGTCGAGAGTCGAGAGGTTTGCCCGCGGGAAATGGTTCGTAGGTTGGATGGGGCCGGGTGGCGAAGTGATCAGCCAAGCAGTGCTGACAGGCGTGTCACGCTTCGAGGACGCTTATGCAATAGACATGTGACGGTCTACCGCATCTGCGGCCGGTGGCGATGGCCCGTGCCTGATCTCAGGCATACGTTATTTCCTTTCGTGCCCCGGCGCCGCTCCGCCAGCTCTGCACGCACCATGACCAATCATACCCACGTCTCCAGACGAGCGTGCCGGCATGGTATCGCCCAGCAAACGTGTCTCCTCCAGGATGCTTGCGTTGTGGTGCAAATCATGCACTGGAATCTCGGACTGCATGACATTGACGACTCGTTATTTGGATTCTTCAACACATTCAATGACGTGCCTCTTGAATGAGCATGACCAAGGGCGTCTACGAGCTCGTCAAGAACGAGAATGTCGACGCGATGGTGATATTACCAGGATTCACTGGCGCGGCTTGTCAAGCAGCTGAACGCGTATTTGCCAAACTTGCCCGTGTTCATGTCGATTGGTGGTAACCACGATCTGAATAAGTGGGCGTCAAGCAACGGGTACTCAAAGGTCTTGGCGTACGTTGTTTACCTGCCACTTTATCGGTTCATTGCGTGCGCGAAGCTTATCTCTATTTCTGGGTCGTAGCGATTGCGACAAGCGGCTCGGCATGGACAAGTACTGCATGGGCGAGGTGGGCATCAAGTCGGCATGCAACTTCAGGGGTGTGGTGCGTAACATTTCCGCATCAACGTGATCTTGCTGACGGCTCTCAACTCATTTTACCCATCTCTCGGCATCAACAGACTATCGTCACGTCGGGCAATGGCAAGCGCGGGTCGGGCCACGACTCGTACCTCGAATCATCCCTGTCGAGCGCGCCCAAGACCGCGTGGAAGTTTTTCTCGTGGCACAAGAACCAGGCCAAGTTGCAGACAGGCGACAAAAACGACGAGGTTAGATGAGACGCTTACGAGATTTGCCGCAAGTACAGCGCAATCGTGCTGACGAGCTATGTATGCAAAGTCTTACTTTGCCCCTTCAATCGAAATCATTTTGGGGGTGGAGGAGACTCACACATTCACACACGTAAGAAAGAATCACGGCTACTCGCGCTCGCACCAAGTCGCCCTATGTGAACCAGCAAGTCGTGAGCACGTCGTCGAACCTGGCCGTGACGCCTGGCAAGTCGTGGTTGACGGTCACGGGCACGGGTGGCCGCTTCTACGGCGAGGGCCCTTACGCCGACGCCAAGTGGGGGGTTGACGGCGACCGACAAGGAGGACCTAGCGTTTGGCGCGCTCTTCTGCCGGTTCAACGAGGACGGCAAGTCGCCCTACAAGGCGTCCTGCCAGTTCAAGTTGTACGACGGCCAAGTGCTGGACTCGTTCACGACCACGTTCACGCCCGGTGCGCCCGTGGCCGTCGCCAAGTACGAGAGCGCGGCTTCCAAGTGCAGGCCGATTCACGTCGAGGCCGCTGCGAACAAGGTCCCGACGACGTAGCGCGCTGACGGCACGCTCGACCTGCAAGTGTCGGCCAAGGAGCACGACTTGCACAGTTTCAGGCCAACGGCCTCCCAGTCTCACGAAGACTGCCGCCAATCTCCTGAGCGTCTGGAAGCCTGTTTTCCATCATCGTCCAATGAAACCGAACCTCAAAGCAGCGACGGTCAGCGTCGTACAGCAGCAACCGCTTGCGACCGCCACCAGACACCACATTCCCTGTGATCGTGCAGGTGGCGAACCATGCACTTTGCACGTTCCATGATACTTCCTTGAACGATAGGCGAGCATGGCGGGCACTTGAGCTCTGCAGCAGGCCGTATTTGTGGCGAAAGTTAAAAACTGGCAGAGTGTAAGACGTCGCGATGTTTTCGTACTCTCTCAACCTCTCTCCTCTCCGCGACACCACCATAAAACTGCTCTCACTCCTTTTCATCGTTGCGTTCAGGACCACCGCCAGCCTTTTGCTTGAGCCCAGCACACGTCGCCGGACAAGCCGTTCGAGTTGGACAAGACGTTCAATATGACGACCGGTCATGCGGCGTGTTGAAAGGGGGTTTCTGGGGAAGATGGTGGAGAATGGAAACTTGCCCTCCCCGAACCAACTCGCGGGGGGCGGCCCACCTCATAGTGGCGGCGAACGTTGGCTCCCCCGCAAGCTGCTTCGTGCTGCGCCTCATGTTTTTATTTCATCAACCCGAAACAAACAATCATCAGCGACGCCCTCGTTGCTCACTTAACGACGCTTCGGCGCCTTCGCCTTGTCCCCGCGTCGTCCTCTATCGTCCTCTGTGCTCATCTCCTTCCAGCCTCGTTGCGCTTTGCCCTGCTCCCTCAGCATGGCGCGTGCACGTTACTTGTTCCGCACTCCACCGGGTGCCGGGACGCGTCTCGCTCTGCGTCCCGTGGTCGGTTGATGAGCCGTTGGTGCATCTGCGACGGTACTTGAGCCTGCACTGTCCAACTCAGCGTGAATACTGGCGGGGCGCCGATGGTGATCGAGCGGCGTGCAAGTGCGAGCGGGCCAGAACATGAAGACCACGTATTGAATCTTTTGTGTTTGTGCTTTATCGTTAGCGATTACCGACATGTGAGCCATACTCCCCTCACATTTCGTCTTCGAAAACAGTAAAGATCCCGGTTCTCGATCTCTTACTTCTCCACCCAAAAGAGCTCACGCTTGGGCTCTGGGTCAGCCCGGCCCATAAATTTGGGTCACTCCTCACCTGTGAGCGATCTCAGAACCGAAACGTGTTGCCAAATCACATCCATGCACCGCGTGTCTTGTCCTCGTTCTAAACAATGATTCGACTGATCTGTGTAGTGATGGACATGGTGTTCTCTTGCATTGGTTCGACACACAGCGCCTGGCGTCAAGTCTCAACAATTAGCGGTACTTGTCGGGCGCGACAGCCGCAGTGTCGGAGGGACCCGGTCCGACTATGGCGATTCGAGCTGGAGTACGAAGGGTTGATGCCGCAAACGCAGCGGTTCCCGGTTCCTCCGCAGCGCACATTGCCAGAAGTACCGGTCGAGCTTTGCAGACATTCAGTGTCACGGCCGGTTGTATCGCGTAATGTAGTTAGT